TCTGCAGCATAGTAGTACTTACTAGCAGACTCAAGGAAAGAGAAAGGCTAAGGGGTGGGCAGGAGGTTGGCCTGCAAAATGTGCCCTTTGGTTGTTTAAATGATTATATGTTCCTACATGTTTTTATGTACATCAAAAAAAGGGGGGTGGGACAGAAGCAAATACTGTTAACCAAAGGTACATGAAAGGGTTTGTAATCATTGCAATGAAACAAAATATGGTTGGTTGAGTGCAAAACTGATGTTCTCCCATGTAAACTATCACTCAATTCACAATAAAAGCTTCTAATTTTTTTTTTACTTACATGTGATATTAATGCTATTGTTCATTGATTTCTGCATTCCATTGGTTCACCTCTCATTGGAACACATTCAAATATGGACCTCTTCCAATAAGTTTGCCAGGTAGCTGTCTTCCAAATTTCTTGGCATAGATGAGTGAGTGCCTCCAGTGCCGCATCAGTTTGTGGGAAGATTCAAAAAATTTTTCCATCAATTCCCAGAGATGTATTCTTTGCCAATACTTTCAGTGCACCTTAGACTTCTTTATTCAGTACCATTGGTTCTTGATCATATGCTACCTCTTGAAATAGCTGAACATTGACCATTTATTTATGGTAAAGTGACTGTATATTCCATCTTTTTTTTGATACATTTTTTTCCCCTCACCATGCAATATTTTGCCTATAGAGTCCTTCAGTATTTCAAGTCGAGGTTTGAATTTTTTCTTCAGTTCTCTCAGCTTGACAAATGTTGAGCATGTTCTCCCTTTTTGGTTTTCTAACTCCAGGTCTTTGCACATTTTATTATAATACTTGATTTTGTCTTCTCAAGTCGTCCTTTGAAATTTTCTTTTCAGCTCTTTTACTTCCTCATTTCTTCCATTCGCTTTAGCATCTCTTTGTTGTTGTTGCTAAGTGCCATCGAGTCACTTCCAACCCATAGCGACACTGCATAGAGTTTCCTAGGAGCAGATGGTAAGCTTGAACCACCGATCTTGTGGTTCAAACAGACTTTGCAGTCCATCACCACACCAGGACTCCAGCATCTCTTTACTGGAGAGCAAATTTCACATTCTGACACCCATTTTGTTTTTTTCTTTCTTTCTTATCCTCTTAATGACCTTTTGCTTTCTTCCTGTATGATGTTCTGGATGTCATCCCACAGCTTTTCTGGTCTTTGGTCATTAATGCATCAAATCTGTTCTTGAATGGTCTCAAAACTCAAGTAAGATATATTGAAGGTCATAGTTTGGCTCTTGAGTTGTTGTTTTCATTTTCTTCAGCTTAAGCCTGAACATACATATGAGCAATTGATTGTCTCTTCCACAGTCTGCTCCTGGCCTTGTTTTGGCTGATGATATTGAACTTCTCCACCATCTCTTCCCACAAATTTGTCAATTTGCTTTCTGGGTATTCCATCTGTTGAGATTCATATGCATAATTATCTTTTATGTTCTTTTAAAAAGATATTTGTAATCTCCAACATGATTCTTATCATTTAGTCCATATTTTCCAACTACTGATTCTTCCTTTTTGTTTCCAACCTTCACATTCCAATCATAAATAATTATCAATACATCTTGATTGCATGTTTGATCAATTTTGCACTGAAGGAGTTGGCAGGATTCTTCTATTTCATCATCAATGGCTTTAGTGGTTGGTGGGTTATTATTGTTAAGAGCTGTAGAGTCGCTCTGACTCATAGCAACCCTGTATAGGGTTTCCAAGGAGCGGCTGGTGAGTTTGAACCACCAACCTTGTTGATCAAACTGAGCTTATGGGTAAATGTGAATAATAGTAGTAGTAACTGGTCTTCCTTATAGTCATATGGACATTGTCCTATCATAGATAGCATTGTTCTTCAAGATAGTTCTTGAGACATTCTTTTTGATGATGAATGTGATAAAATTTCTCCTGAATATCTTTTAACATAGTAAACCATATGATTGTCAGATGCAAAATGGCCAGTTCATTTTAGCTCACTAATACCTACGATACTGATCTTTATGCATTCTATTTCATTTTTGACAACTTCCAATTTCCCTAATTTATACTTCATACTCGAATTATTTGCGTTATTAATGGATATGTTTATAGCTGTTTCTGGAGTCCTAGTGTGGTGCTGTAGAATAAGCACTGGAGCCAAAGGTCTGCTTGAACCACAAGGTCAGCAGTTCAAATGCACAAGCCACTCCTTGGAAACCCTATTCAGGGTTGCTATGAGTAGGAAACTACTTGACAACACTAGACAACAATAAAGCTGTTTCTCCTCATTTTGAGTAGTTCCCCATCAGCAAATCAAGGTCCCAAAATTTTTACTCCATTTAAGTCATCACAGTCAACTCTTATTTTGAGGAGGCAGCTCTTCCCCAGTCGTACTTTAAGTGCCTTCCAACCTGAAAGGCTTTTCTTCTGGCACCATATCTGACAATGTTCTATTGCTATTCATAAAGTTTTCAGTAGCTAAGTATTCAGAAGCAGTCTGCCTCTCCTTCTTCCTGGTCTGTCTTAGTCCAGAAGCTCAGCTGCAACCTGGCCAGCATTGGTGACCTTGCTGGTAATTAAAATACTAGTGGCATAGCTTCCAGCATTACAGCAACACACAAACCACCACAGTACAACAAACTGATACAAAAGTGGTGACTATAGTTCCTAACATTTTTCTTTCTCTCTATATATTAAATTAATAATAAAAATGTCCAGAGTGCTTCAGTATTTACAAAAGATTTTCACATGAGATTTGTATAATGCCCTATGATATTGGTAAGGAAGACACATTATTCTCATGATAGGTGTGAAACAGAAACAGGGGCTCAAGAAGGTGTAAGCTGAGGTTCTAGTTTTCCTACTCCTGCTCTCTCACCTTGATGCCTCTTTTTCAGAACTTGTGGGCTTCCAGTTATCTATGAGTAAATGGTATGTGAATTCAAGGTAATGTCAAAACGTAAGTGTTTTATAT